TCCTGATAATTCTGCTTTAATTTAAATTAGGCAGGTCGATAGGTCAGGAGCTAAGGAGACCTAGTATGCATGCAAATCTCGTGCGCATCTGTCTCTGAGTCTGACGCTAAGGAGGCCAAATATGCATGAAAATTTCGTGTGGTTGCCGTTGTGTTTGACGTCAGTCGGCAAGGCCTATTGAAATTGGGATGGGAATCCTCGTGTAATTTAAATCTATGTCTGCATTTTTAAAGTCTAAATCTACAATTTAATTTCACAATGAAATGGAAATATAAGGAATCACTGTCTAGTTAGTATAGTATGCCAGGGACATCAACAATAGTGGGAAACATGGGATAATTTATGCATAACGGGCTTCGCCCGTTATGCAAATTATCCCATATTTCCCACTATTGTTGATGCCCTGGCATACTATACTAACTAGACAGTGATTCCTTAAATAAGTAATGGAAGTTGGCGATAGGAAAGTTCAAGTAATCACGTTAATGGTAGAGCTTGGTTGTTAGATTACCATTAACGTTTATCAAGTAAAATATCCAAATATGAAAACAACTTTCTAGACATTGTCGAAGTCCAAATTGACCACCATTGATAGAAATACATGTAAATTGTTGCTGCAATGATAGCTTTCACTAAAAGTTCGTAATTAATGAGGTGTTTTTAAAAATATCTATCGTATATATGCATTTTTAAAGATATTTTCCCGAAAAATATTTTGAAGTAATTGTAATCAAGTGATACTTTCTATCTGTAAATCAACAGTGAGATATTTATAAACAGTAAAAGTTTTAACTTTATTAACCATATAGTATTGGTGCTGTTGTAAAAGTCATGGCCTTAGGAAAAGATCTTTTTCAAGTAAAATATCGAAATACGATGGTTGATCCAAAAGTTCGGGAATTTCTTCATATTTTATTTATTTATAGGTGAAATTGGTTGAAAAATACAAATGAGAACACAGACACTTGTTGAATATTCTAAATAAAAAAAAAATCAAATATCTATGATGGTAACTCTATGGCAGTTGCCATAGAAACGGTTGTTTGGAAATGCGGGGGAGACATTAATGCGTTTATTATCATTTTAATTTGTAATACGTGAAATGAGAATAAAACCGCCCTATGTGGTACATGTATATAAAACGAATATTATGTCATTATTACGATTGCTTAATCTTTTATAAATCTTGGTGTGAGAGTTTTACTGATTTTACTGGATATTTAGTTTATTAGTTCATGCGCGGATCTAGAGGGGGGTCGGGGGGGGGGTCAGGACCCCCCCCTGGAATTTACACGGTTAAAAAATTGATATACTAAAGCAAGAAGAAAGTCACCTTGGACCCCCCCTGGAAAACGTTCACCCCCCTGGTGAACATGAATATGTGTGAAATAAGTATGAAAAGTGAAAGGTTTGAGGCAATAGAGGAGTCATAGACTACCCCGGGCCCCCCTCCCCCCCCCCCCCCCACACACACACGAAATAGGTTTATTACGTTTGGGCGAGTTAAGGTTTTTTTTTTAAGCTTGTCAAGAAATTTCTGGGATTGGAATTTTTTTTTGACTGGGTGGACCCCCCCCCCATGGAAAAAATTTCTGGATCCGCGCCTGTAGTTGATGATTTATGGTTCATCTTTAAGTTGTTAGACAAAGTCAAATTTCGGTAAAGTCATCACTCTATCTTAAATGCGTATATTACTGACATTGGCTGAGGAAAATGCATTAAGTTACTAGTTTTTCAGTGGCCTTAGAAATTTATGAAAAATAGAAATTCCTTGGACGTTAATTAAAGGCGTGGTTGCCTTTTGGAAGCTCTGTTTTAAGTGTTTATCTCCCAAGACAAATGAAAAGCTTTAATGGAGGTTATCGACTGACATTCTACTTGACATTGCTACTAATTTTGGAATCAACAAGATGATGAGTATTTTAAAACATGAGTGATAAAATGAAGAAAAAACTTGGTGTGAGAAGATACCCAGGCTTTTCTTGAGAAAAAAAGATGAATAGGGCAGCATTTTGTAAAAATATATTCCTATTGGACATTAGGGTGAGATGCTTTTTTAACGTAGCGTGAAATATATATAACTTGACTTTACTGTCACAGTTCTTTTGTCAGAAATAAGGAACAAATTTTTTAAAATATATTTACAATATTTATAACATTTTTACATCAATAATTTTTTTTCTATATTTTGCTTGATATAATAAAAGTTTAAAATAAAAAATCTATATCAACGACTGTAGACTAGTTCCTTGGATCAGTATGGCGCTGTGGCCCGTAATGGCGGCACTTCCATCCTGATTCACATGTGGCGCATTGTACTGGTACTGTGGAAAGCCTGGTGTGGTCCTTCCTACTGTATATAACCTTGGATCCCTACTTCTACTTCTTACTTCTAACTACAAGGATCTATGGAATGTTTATCAAAAACATATTGTAATTGTTTGTTAATTTATGTAAATAAACTATCTATTTTATATAAAATACTAAATATGCATATTTTCCTATACATATTTTACACATACACTGTACTCAACATACTCTTCACACTTTAAACATGGTCATTTTACTTTATACGAAGAGAACATATTGAAAGTATTCAACTAACTGCTTTACAAACACATATTACATATACAATGCTACTGAAGCATTATTACTACTTCGAACATACTTCGAGTACAGTATTACTACTTACTATAATGCTTACGACGCATCATTACTACTGAATATAAGTACATTATATATACAATTCAACAATATGTTTACTTCAAATACTAGTAACTTTACCAAAAATGTACTGCGGCGAAGAAACTTGGCAGAATTTGCAGATATACTGTTACTTAAAATAAACAATAAACCGAAATACTCTTACCTCACAAGTGAGTAGGGTTTCTGGTATGAAATGAAGATAAATAACAAATGAAAGACGTGGTATAATCTGGCAAAGGAACAACGTGTCCTTCTCTGATGCCTGCTACGCCCAAACTGACCAGCACGAGCTATTTAAATACCTCACCAGTCCAGTGAGTTTAAACCTTCTAAATAAAGGACTACGGAAAAACGTTTGGGAATTAAAATACTAATTACATGGGTAAAATTCTACGATACACGGTTTGGACATTAAATGTGACAGTTACGTCGAAGTCTCACAACTATCCATATTCAGAAGGCTCGGAATGCGGTGAAAATTTCCAATATTGTTGCATTATGACTCTATTATAAATATTCATGTTGTTTGCTTTCATCAAATCGCAATAAAATCTTAGAAAGAAATTCCACAAACTTTTGGATCAACCCTCGTATATGAAACACGTGTCAGACTCTGTGGTATCTTTTATTTCAAGCTCACCAGGATATATCGTATCGACATAAGAATGGAAAGAACCACCGTTAATCAACAAGACGTCGTTGATATATCTAAATATTTACATTCAGTGTAATTTTCTTCATGAAATCATTTAGAAATCTACGACATTCAAATTTCTATATCACACGCGAAACCTTGTCACCGCGCGGTAAAATACTCAGCAGGAACTACATGCATTTTCAATGCTAAGGAACACCAAAATGAATATTGTTTTCACTCAATTTAATTAAAAAAAAATTAACCTGTTAATTAACTTTAAATACAAGAAATGTGCGTTTGAATAATAATTTGCCATTTCTTTTGTCGCAATGTTCATTTGCGTTATTCAACTTTCCAACGTCACAAACGACTTTCCAATGACACATGGCTATTACGTCTATTAAGCACACCAATACCATGGGGACCAAATCACGTTTAACATGAACGAAATAAATTAAAAAATATGAAAAGGAAAAATAGAGAATGTAAATATAAGCATTGAATTCATATTTTTGGATGTCGTCGGTCCTATAACTCACCTGGCCGTGCCGACAAATTATCATACCGCGCGTTATATTCAATTTGTCGGCACGTCCAGGTGTGTGAAAGGACAGAAAACATCCCAAAATATGAAATAAATGCTTAAATGTTGATGGCCACAGTAAGTGCTTTCTTCTTTCCACGTATAAGATTTTGCACAAATTCTACTTCATATGAAATCAAAAATATGGAAGAAGCTAATAACTTTGTAACTAATTAGCCTGCTTAAATTCCATGGGCAATGAATATGTTGAGATATTGTATGTATTTTCAATATTTGATTGAAAAAACCCTGCCCTTCCACTAGATCCCTTGACCCTGCAGTCATGAAATTCACAAATTTGGACGAGGCATCTTTGCTCTTTATAATTATGGTTAAACGACTAAACACCGAGGAACACAGAAGAATACTTTATAAGAATTAATGCATTTCATATAATGAAAGAAAAAGTGAGCAAGCTCACATACCCCACGCTCCCCCAAAACTCAAAGTTCCGAAAATCCCGAAAAAAAATAAAAGAGTCGGAATTTCTTGATGCATATTGTGTCCTAAATGACTGTAAAGTTTGACAAAATTCTGGGCGGGGGTTTATGAGGAGTTGCGCTAACAAACTCTTCAATTCTCTATTCAAGACATGGCCAAAAATCTAAGTTGAAAAGTGCCAAAATTCCCAGAAAAATAAAGGAATCGGAATTATCTGGTAATATGCACTTCTACACACTGTGTACTAAATATCTGCAAAGGTTGACAAAATTCTGTGCAGCTGTTTATGAGGAATTGCGCTGACAAAAATAGGACTGATGGACTGACTGACTGACGGACGGGTCAAAACTTGTTGCATGGGGTAAAATAATCAATAGAGCCCTACCTTGCATGAGGCTCCTGATCGAATCAGAAGCCTTTAAATTCATAATTCATAAGTTTGCAAGAGGTACCACGCTCATCATAACCATGCACTTGATCTGTATAACAAGCTTCTTTCATATTTGCAGATTTAAAATAAATCTGTATATCATATCAATAAACAGTACGCCCTAACCCTGAGAATTTAAGATGCTTTTCAGAATATTTATATAACTACAAGGACTAGAATAGAAAATTATTATGTTAACCAACCATTCCTTTGGTCATAACAGACAACTCCAGCTAGTCCTCCATCTTTACAACTGCTTGGTTCAACAACTGAGAGTCTACATCCTAGCAAGGACTTTTCACTTCCGTAACAGTAAACATCCCCCAAAATCCGAGTTTGTCCACTTAATTCTCCAAACAAAGACGAAAGAGCAGGCAGAGCTCTGAAAAAAACACCCAGAGTCTTTATTCCATCTTAACATAAAAAAAAACAACACATTCCTTAAGACAAAACGCATAAATACTAATACAAATGCATTCTTAAAAATCCTATATTCATTCAACTGATTACTGTTATTATATTTCCTTAACCATTTTCCGTTATTATTTCTTGATTTTATTTATAAATCATTAATTGTAGTTCTATTCTTTTAATGATTTTTTTTAAAGTTTAACTTAATCCCATTTGAGTAAATCTCGGAATTAAGAGGAACCACAAAATTCTTGCAACACTCAAGATCGGGTAACATTACAAAGGTTAAGTAAAAACTTTTTTTAAAGCATATCAAATTATCGATTTTATGATAATAATAAAATCTTCTTACCCGGAATATCCAATACTTCTACAAACCACATCGGCTTCAGGTTTGTTCCAACCACTGTCACATATACTGAGCCATTCACCATACACCGAAACCTCTACTCGACCTTCTTTTATCGAGGTTCCATTAACGATTCTTACTGTATCTAAATTGTTGTTTTAATTGAGAGGCTAAGAAACTTGGGAGAAAAATCGTAAACGTAATAATAATAAAAAATGACTTACCATTTTCTGAGCGATAGCATAAGACTCTAGCATGTCCACCATTAACGCAGTTGCTAGGATCAACTACTGATAGTCGACATTCAAACAAGGAGGTTTCACTTCCGTAACAGTAAACATCACTCAACATCCATATTTGATTGCTCTGTTCTCCAAACGTAGATGAAAAAACAGGTAAACCTCTGATAAAGAATTGTATATATTGAAGCTGGATTCATTGCAGTAAAATATTTTAGAGCGTGTTTGCTCTATTTAAAGTCGCAAAATAAGATATGATACGTTTGTCGCACGGTATGAATCCCTTAGGTTCCGTAATATGGGCATTTGATACCGATGTCGTATAGTTAGACTTTCTCTGGAATGTTGGCTATATAGGGAGATTTCCCCGGAAGACTAGCTTTTTTATAGACTTTTATAGACTTTATAGACTTCTGGAGGGTTAATCTGCCATGAATCCAGATTATCGAGGATGAAGTTTTACTACATAGCTAGCTCCTTGGTTTCATAGCCAGGCATCCCCCTCCATTGTTTGTTGTTTCCGGAATAGTAACTTTAAGGGACTTTGGCAAGTCACGGTTATCCGGAGCAAAAAAAAAATTATACATGTTTTCACTCTATACACAGTGAAACCAAAAAAGGGCGTGTGTTACAGAGATATAAACAAAACCATTAGCACGAGCTCTCTATCCTTGTTTCCAGTCGCTGCCACTAAAATTGTTTTTCAAGACCCTTGCGCTTGTTAAACAACGTCTTAATACTAGTCTAAAAGCATATGCTCTTCCTCCAAAGGATAGAATCATCTCAGCAAAAAAGAAAACTGCGGTGGTTTTGCTGGACATTGTACTCAAAGAACAGAAAGTCAACAGATCATGATTTGCTGTGGGTATGCTGGGAAGAGCAAAAGTATGACAAATTCTGTTTAAAAGTTTCTAGATCTTATGAAGGAGGTGCTATTTAGTAAAATCGAACAAATCTCAAAAACAAATCTATGTCAAGTTTTAAAACAATTGTGTTTTAAATATTATAGGTAAATCGCAGAATAGAAATAATCAGTCAGTCTATATGCCATTATAGATAATAATAGATTCTAAGGGAATAACTCAGAAATAAAGGACGGTGCTGGTATACTTAACGTCTTGTTTTTATATTTACATTTTCAGTCAAAATATCTAGATGCAATGGAAAATGGGGATTCAATAAGGTATAAAATACATAACATTCATGTATTGAATAGGTTTAGGAGAAATCGTATGGTGAAAAATTACGAAAATCTTTTTATGAACATTTTAAATAGGGAATTCAATGAGATTTTTAAAAGTGATTTCATAAAGTCTGAAAAGGCAGGACTAATTGGTGGGTTTAATGAACCACAATATAGCATGATTAGTTCCATTACACGTCCTTCAAAGTTCTTGAAATAAAACATGTACGAAAGCCAGGAACCTTGCTAATGTCCTTAATTGTAAAACAAAGTTTTGAAGCTAACGTTTTCAATAGTTCTAGTGAATTTAACGAACACAATTTTATGAAATCTAAAGATGGGTTTTATATCTGATGAAAAGAACAACGAGTATCTTAAAAAAATGACAAGGAGCACAATCGACTGTGACTGGTCGACAGGGAATTCTAACTTCTCCTTGACACCTGATCCCACCTCTGATATTTTGGAGGTCTGCGTTTGCTCTGTTCGTAGTTTGTATGATTAAATGGACTTTAGAGCACGAATATAGTTCTTTATCTCTATATATTTTTAAAGAAAAAGATGGTAAACGGTATGAAAAAAATCTTAATTCTGAGATATAATAAAACTTTCAACAAGAGGCCCACGGGCCTTATAGGTCACCTGAATATCATGAAACATCTTTCCAGCGATTGAATTTGGTTCATGTTTTATTCCAAAAGCCATGGAATTCACAATTTTGAAAGAGGCACCATTGCTTAGAAACAAAGAGAAAATGCATTTCCACTTTATAACCACTAATTGATTAATACCAAAGAGCAGATTTCAAAGGATTAATTTATTTTCAGAAAAAGTACCACCCCCTCCCCGGTACCCCTGATCCAGGGGCCCTTAAATTAACCATTTTGAAAGGGGAACTTTCTTCATCATAAATATGTAATTAGATCACTGGCATGTTAACCAGGAGCAAAGGAAAAGATTTTCAAAGAATTCATGCATTCAGCATATAATCATTAGAGCCCCGCCCTCACGTCAGAACCCCTGCCCAAGGGGCCCTGAAATTCACAAATTGGGAAGAGGCAGCCTTATTCAACATAACCATGTACTTGGTTAGTTTATTTAATGCCAAGGAGCAGAGATGAAGATTTTTAAAGAATTAATGTATTTTCACTATATAATAAAAAACGCTCCACCCTAACACCAGAACCCCTGACCCAGGGGACCTGAAATTCACAAATTGGGAAGAGGCAGCCTTATTCAACATAAATATATAATTGGTTATTTTATCTAATGCCCAGGAGCATAGAAGACGTTTTTAAAAAAAATTATGTATTTTCACTATTTAATCAATAGAGACCCGCCCTAACCAGGAAACCCTGACCCAGGGGCCATGAAATTCATAATTTTGAAGAGACACCTTGCTCATCATAACTTTGTTAGTTTATCTAATACCCAGGAGCAGAGAAGATTTTCAAAGAATTTATGCAATTCCACTATATAATCAATAGAGACCCATCCTTACACCAGAACCCCGACCCAGGGGTCATGAAATCCACAATTTTGGTAGAGGCAGCCTTATTCAACATAACTATGTACTTGGTTAGTTTATTTAATGCAGAGAAGAATATTTTCAAAGAATTTATGCAATTTCACTATATAATCAATAGAGCCCCGCCCTAGCACTAGACCTTTTGATCTATGGGCAATTAATTTCGCAATTTTGGAAGAGGCAACCTTCTTGAACATAACTATGTACTTTGTTAGTTTATTTAATGCCCAGGAGCAGAGAAGAATATTTTCAAAGAATTTAAGTATTTTCACTATATTTAACCCCACCCCAGAACCCCTGACCCAGGGTCCATGAATTTTACAATTTAACAATTTTGGTAGAGGACTCAATGCTGATTACAATCATAAAAAAATGACTGCTTGATGTCCAGGAGTAAAGAAGAAGATTTTTAAAAATGCATTAATTTCAGTGTTTTTGGCCCCACCCCTCGGCCCATGAAAGTCACTTTTGTTAGTTACCCATAGATATTTTGTGCCAAATTTAGTTGAAATTAGTTGAGCAGTTGCAGAGAAGATGCTGAAAATGTTGAAATGTTAACGAAGGCGGACGAAAGCGGATAGCAATAGTAAACGTGACCTAAAAAGATATTTCGGAGAATTACCCTGAATACCCAGTGCTTTTACAGATCACATCAGCTTCTCTTTTGTCCCAGCCTATGTCACATACACTTCGCCAATGATCGTTAATATAGACCTCTACTTGGCCTTCATCTGGAGAGCTTCCATTTACGATTCTTACAGAATCTGAAAGTAAAATGCCAATTATATATATAATTTACATGTATATAAAATCTCAAAACAAACATGTGTGATTTTCATCTTAATCTGCCATATATAACGTTGAAAATTGACACGACAATAGAAGTGAATGTATGTTAATAAATAACAAATGACAGATTGAAAAGATAATGTTTTAGGGAAATAATTCTCATTTTAATAAAATCAGTATTAAATGTATGTCATTCCTTATCCCTTCGGGCCAGACTCAAAGCACTTGGAAACGTTCGAACATCTCAAATTCAAAATTAGAACGAAGGTTCTCTCTCTTCTCTCTCTTTAAATCAGCAGAACAAACTTTTTTAAGTCAAACTTAAAGATGTACTGGTATTATTGTTATTGTAACCAACCGTTTAGTGCCTGGTAACAAACAACTCCAGCGTATCCGTAATTAACACAGCTGCTTGATTGAACTACTGAGAGCTGACATTCTAAGAAAGAAGTTTCACGTCCAGTACAATAAACACCACCCAACATCCGCATTTGTCCGTTTACTTGTCCAAAATTTGACAACGAAGCCGGCAAACCTCTAAATGAAAAAAAAAACTCAAAAATGAAAAAATGCATATCTGAAATCGCAAAGCATCATGGATGTGTGTATGTGTATAGAATTTTTTGAATTTTGTTCGTGGCAGAATTGTTTTAGTATTAAAGACACAAAAATTCATTAATCAAATAGGTTGAGATAACGAACAGTATTCCAGCTCAAAAGTCCATTTAACATTGCAAAACAGAAGCAGAGCAAACACGGGGCTCCAAAACATCATAGTTTGAATCTTGTGCCGTGGAGGAGTGAGCATTTCATTACCGGTCACACGCCGTGTGCTTCTTGTCATGAACGGGAAATAACGGGAGAATCTGTCGTCAATTCAGTGTATAAATAATGGTCCAAAACTCAGTATGAAAAAGGTCAGCATTTTTCTTAATGATAAATTGTATTTGCTAACAAGGTCATTGTATCGACCATAGAACTTACTAAATGATGACAATGAACTGCTAATATTCTTGCTTCATCAACTTATTTGTCAATAAATATCATAAAGCTTTGTTTAACAATTTATTGAACATTTAACGTCTTTTTTCTAGTAAAAGATCCAAATATGAAAAAAAAAAAAAAAAGAATCATGATTTAGATTTTCTATATCCAGCTCATGATTTAAGGATAGAGAGGGGAAGGTAGAGTAATATAGAAAGAAAAGATAGAAATTGTGAAATATGTATGTCAGGTGAGATAGAGGACGAATTTCATTTTGTATTAAAATGCCCTCGATATGAAGAGCTTAGAATTAAATATATCCAAGAGTTATTATTTTAAAAAACCATGTATTTAAATTAGTACGGTTACTGAGTTCGACAAATACTAAAGAACTTTGTAACCTGGGTAAATTTTTGCATTTTTCTTATCAATTAAGATGTTCTAAATAATAATTAAATGATTTTGTTATGTAATTAACACACGTTTATTGTATAGTCTGTACAAATCTTATGTATGTATGTATGAATATTGTGTACCTATTAGATGCAATGTCTCCGGTTCAAATAAAACACAAGAAGGATATGGAGATAACGAACAGTATTCAATCTCAAAGTCCATTAAACATTATAAAAAATCAGAGCAGAGCAAACACGGACCTCCGAAATATCAGAGGTGGGATCAGGTGCCATGGAGGAGTGAGCATCCCCTGCCGACCGGTCACACCCGTCGTGTGCTCGATGTCATGATCAGGAAATACAGGAAAAAATCCGTCGTCAATTCAGTGTATAAATAATGGACTAACAATTGGTATGAGAAACGTCAGTCAGCATTTGACTCAATGATAAATTGTATTTGCTGACAAGGTCATTGTATCGACCACAGAACTTACGAAATGATGACTTTAAACGAGACTGCTGATATTCTTGTTTCATCAACTTGCTTGTCAATAATTTACCTCGTTTAAGAAATTGTTCATACGTAGAGCAAGCTCTTGTGTATCGAATCAACTGAGATATATACACTCCGTATGCAGGTGACGACAGTATATTGCTGACGATAGAAAAGTTAAATTCATCACGTTTATCATATAGCTTGGTTGTTAGATTACCATTAGTGTCTTTTTCAAGTAAAATATCCAAATATGAAGCAGAAGTGTTGGACTCTGTGGTATCTTTTAACTCAAGCTCACCAGGATATATCGTATCAACGTAGGAATGGAAATTATCATTATTAATTGACAATACGTCGTCGATATATCTAAATGTCGAATTGAAGGCCACAGCAAGTATTTTCTTCTTTTCACGCATAAGATTTTGCATAAATTCTGCTTCATATGAATATAAAAATGATGATTATTTATTTCATTTTATCATTATTTTATATAAATTCTATGCGAGACCATACGCATTATACACTGGCACTCACAGATCAGGGCATTTGCCGTACTTTGCTCTAAATCCTATGTGGAACCTAACACATAATATAAATAGAGCAAGTTTATTTTATCATAATCTATGCAAGTTCATAGTTTTATGCATTTCCATATTATTCATGCTGCTGTATATGCATATTGGCATAGTTTACATTCCTCTATGATGAATATCATGCAGTACGGTTCCGGGAAATGCAGGTTAATATCATACTTCTCTGTTTGCATATAAAGTTCAGGGCAATTTGTCCATTGAAATTGTAATCACCAAGACCGTTGTCAATTAATTTATGTCATTTCCTTCAAGACATGCAAGTATCATTCCTGTACAAAATAACAGGTCTTGTATTTTGACTGTCAATTGACTGCATTTGGTGTTGAAATTATGCTACTTGATGCATACAATAATGCAGCATTGTTCAGGCTTTGTGTGCATAACTTACATGGCAAACATTTTTATGATATTTATAGATTTAACTTCATTAAAATAATTTTCTCAGGTCACCACCATGCCTCCAAAGCTGAAATTAGATGGTACATCGGGAAGAACACTCATCAACATGTTAGGAACTTTGGACTTAAAACAGAAAAGAAATTGGAAATCCCATGTCTCAGCTTTAGTACGTTCTTATAATTGTACAGGAAACGAGTCGACTGGTCAGTCGCCATACTTCCTTATGTTTGGTAGGTAGCCAAATTTACCCATCTACATAGCTTTTGGTCTCGTCAGATAAGACTTTAGGAAGCCACATACCAAGTATGTTCGAGAACTAAGAAAAAGACTGATGCAAGCATATGATTAAGCATTTAGAAAGGCAGATAAGTCTAGAGGTGACAGAGGATAGTTTTTTTTTTTTTGCAATCAAAACGTTTGACTGAAGGTATACTTTATATTGTGCTGCTTTTAAAATGTGCATTGAAAAATTCCCTCTACATGTAATAATAGTATGATGTAGTCCCTTGTGGAATTTGAAGCTTTTAGGAATAAAACATGTACAACTTACACAATGAGCCCTAAAGATGGCACAGGGACAATCTCAAAATTTCATGTGAATCAAGCCTATTTTCACTATTTCGCTGCAGCCGCAACTGCTTCCAGGTCCGTGTTCATGACCTAAGCTACCACACAAATTGCAGAATAACATTTGTACATACCAATGAACAGCAAGAGATAATGGCTCAACCACCTCGTTTTCAAGCTACATTTCATCCTATGAACCCACCCCGCTTTTCTGGTGAAATACCGGTAGAACGAGTTTTGAGCATAGTTTCGTATTTCTAGTCCATATCCCATATACAGTAGTAGTGACACTAAAGTGTCATATTTCAATAAAATATACAAGGCCACCAATTCCCTCCAAATGCACCCATAAAATATTCTAGCTATTAAATTACCTATAATATGTATCAAACCTCAGGTTTCTCTATTTTTTGACGGTACTTTATTCGAAACTATCCTCTGCCACCTTTAACTTTCAAAGTTTGTCTTGTAAGTAATAAACCTTGCTCAATTCAAAAAGAACATGCAATTCTGAGTATTAATATACCAAATATGTCTTGATTCATTGAAAAATAAACAAGAGGCCCATGGGCCTTATAGGTCACCTGTGTATCATGCAACAACTTTTCAACAATTGAATTTGATTCATGTTTTAAGCTAGAGGCAATGAAATTCACAATTTTGAAAGAGGCACCATTGCTTATCATAATTATACACTCAGCATACTTATTTTGGTTACTTTATACCCAGAGGTAGATCAGAGTAACAAAGAGAAAATGCATTTCCACTTTTAGTGAATTTCAGGGCCCCTGGGTCAGGGCTTCTTGTGTTAGGGTGGGTCCACAGTTGAGCTCCACATATCACAGGAACCATTGACCCTGGGGCCACATCTTTCAAAATTTTGGAAATTTTTAAAAATTTTACTTCATCATGCTGTTGATTAATACCAAAGTGCAGATTTCAAAGCATTAAATTATTTCAGACTTTGTTATCCCCCCCGTCAAAGTACCTCTGTCGCAGGGGCCAGGAAATTAACCAATTTTGAAAGAATAAGATTTTTTTGTCATAAATATATACTAAGATCATTGGCATTATACCCAACAACAAAGGAAACGATTTTCAAAGAATTCATGCATTTTCACTATATAAATATTAGAGCCCCGCCCTAACACAAGAAGCCCTACCCTGAAATTCAAAAATCTCAAAGAGGCATCCTTCCCCCTCATAACTATGTACATAGTTCACTGGTTAAATACTCAGGTGCAGAAAAGAAGAGTTTTAAAGAATTGATGCATTTTCACTAGATAATCAATAAAGCCCCGCCCTAACACCAGAACCCCTAACTTAGGGGCCACGAAATTCACAATTTTGGAAGAGGTAGCCTTATTCAGCATAACAATGTACTTCGTTGGTTTATTTAATACTCAGGAGCAAAGAAGAAGATTTTCAAAGTAATAATTTATTTTTATTATATAATCTATATAGCCCCGCCCTAGCACTAGAACCCCTAACCCTGGGCCATGAAATTCACAATTTTGGGAGAGGCAGCCTTATTCAACACAGGTATGCACTTGGTTAGTTTATTTAATGCCCACATACAGAAAAGAAGATTTTCAAAGAATTTATGCATTTTCACTATATAATCTATATATCCCCACCCTACCACTAGAACCCCTGGCCCTGGGGCCAATAAATTCACAATTTGAAAAGAGGCAGTCTTATTCAACATAACTATGCACTTGGTTAGTTTATTTAATGCCCACAAACAGAAAAGAAGACTTTCAAAGAAATAATTCATTTTTTACTATATAATCTATATAGCCCCGCCCTAGCACTAGAACCCCTGACCCTGGGGCCATGAAATTCACAAATTTGGAAAAGGCGGTCATTTTCAACTTACCTATGCACTTGGTAGTTTATCTAAAGCCCAGGAGCAGAAAAGAAGAATTTCAAAGAAATAATGCATTTTCACTATATAACCTATTTAGCCCAGCCCTAGCACTAGAACCCCTGACCCTGGGGCCATGAATTTCACAATTTTGGTAGAAGACTCAATGCTGATTACAATCATGCCAACAATTTGACTGCTTGATATCCAGGAGTAAAAAAGAAGATTTTTAAAGA